TCTTCCAGTCCAGATTGTCCCATTACTGCCAATTCTACCACCTGCAGTCCATCTAATAATGTCATATTTATATACAGGAAGTCCCCGGGTTACATACAAGATAGAGACTGTATGATTGTACTTAAGTTGAATTTGTCAGCGCAGGTAAAAAAATTTAATGTAACTCCAGCCCAAATTTTTTTTCAAGTTTTGGCTAGCAGAGGGAAGGATCACATTTATTTTGCTGTCAGTTCCTGTTGTTCAGAAGATTATAATATAATAAAAAAACTTTTATTTAGAATGAAACACCCAAAAAAGTATTTTTTCTATTTTTAATTTAATTTTATAAACTTTATTTTTTTATTTGTTTGGATTTTTAATTTTTATTTATTTAACATTTTTAACTTTAAGAAAAACATTTTTGTCTTTTAAATTTTTTTAAAACTTTTTTGTTTACTTTAATGCTGTGCGCAATAGCCAGCCTGCTATTGGATATTTCAAATTGCAATAGCCAATAGCAGGCTGGCTATTGCATCTACCCACTGTTTGCTGTCAATCAACAGAGGAGGGGCCTGAAGAAGAAAGTTATCTATAAGGTCCTCCCATGCTGATTGACAGCAGACAGTGGGTGGGTGCAATAGCCAGCCTGATATTGGCTTTTGAATTTTACAATATCCAATAGCAGGCTGGGTATGGCTCCCAGCCTGCAGATGAAGAGGAGGCAGGGGCAGATGAGCAGCGGACGGACCAGGGGAGCGGAGGAGCGTTGGACCGGGGGAAGACAAGCGGACGAACCAGGGGAAGAGGAGCGGACGGACCCAGGAAGAGGAGCGGATGGACCGGGAGAAGAAAAAGGAACCGGCCGGGACAGCAGAGGAGGTATGGGGGCAGTGGAGGAATGCAGCCGTCTGTGTCCCCGCTGTCTCCGCTAACAAAGGCGGGGAGAGTAGCGGGGATTTGAAGGGACACAGGCCACTGCAGCCAGAGTTCTCCTAAATGAACCGGCAGCTGCCGGTACATTTAGGAGAACTGTGGACCTCGGTTCGTAAGTACGGGTTGTCCATAAGTACGGGTTGTCCGTAAGTCGGACGTCTGTAAGTCGGGGACTGCCTGTACAATTAATTCACATCTATGGTGGCAAGGAAATATTCATAGTCAAATGTCAGTTCTTTTATTAGATTAATAAGGTGTTGGCTATCCTTAAAAAAGGACAATGTATTGATCACCAAAGGTTGAAAATACCAATCAATATAGTCAACTAGACATGTGCACTGCCAAAAAATTTGTTTCGTTTTAAATTCGGATTTGTGTTATTTAATTTTTCAGGATTCGGGTGTGAAAGTCAATTCGGATTCGGAATTCGGATGAAATTCGGTAGCGGTATTCCGAACGTTCGTTTCGTTTTCTGTTCTTATTCGTTTCTTATTCGTTTCTTATTCATTTCGTTCGTTTGCAGCAAACGAACGGACGAAATTCGGTAGCGGTATTCCGAACGTTCGTTTCGTTTACTGTTCTTATTCGTTTCTTATTCGTTTCGTTCGTTGGAGCAAAGTGACATTAGAGAAGGAGAAAAATATTTTTCCCCCTCAAATGTCACTTTGCTGCAAACGAACGAAACGAATAAGAAACGAATAGGAACAGAAAACGAAACGAACGTTCGGAATACCGCTACCGAATTTCGGAAATAGAAATTCGGATTCGTTTGCATTCGTTATGTCTGTAATTCGGAATGTCCGAATTTCCGAAAATTTGTCCGAATTTCGATTCGGAACAAAACGAATCGCACATGTCTATAGTCAACTAACCTCGCTGTCAAAGACTCTGTACCACTGACAATCAGTCTACCTGGATGGTGGGTTCTGTCCTTATGTTTCTTATAAAAATCTATTAGAGTGTGTCCTGACCCACAGAAAGGATTAAAAATCTTTGTTTACCTTGAGCACCAGTATATCTAAGGATGCTGTTGACTCAGCGAGGGGTGTCTTGTACAGAGTCTTGTGCATCCTACAAATATGAGGCATCTTTAGGATCCGTGAAGAAGTGCGATTTTCCACTGTGCACATTGTGTAACTCGTCAGGGTATATCATACTATACAGGATATACTTATCCCTCAGCCACCTTTTCATTGTAAGAAAGGCTGCTTACTGTTTCCGCATAGCAGCTGAGAAATCTGGGTAGCCTCACCTCATATGTGTCCGCAGCAATAGTAACACGCGACTTTGTTACCCATTTGGTCATCTTCTGTTGCTATGCCCTCCTGCGGTCCCCCTGGGGGAGAAATTAAAGGTTCAGTTTCTAAGGATCTTGAATGGGATGTGATTGGGTGTAAAGTCCTGCATTTTGGGGATTTTTATCCTCCTGAATAAGCCACGTAGGTGGTGAAATGCATAGAGGACATTCCACAGTATGGATTATCTCCTTATCACAACGCATTGTATGGCCACTATCTTTATCATCCCAATATACAGTATTTGTATTAGAATGGACATTTTAAAGGCCAGACTGGCCGTGAACTAACATGTTTTCTAATGTATTTTTCCTATTAAAGCTTTATTATTTGATTATGTTATGTATCTGTGAAGGTCCTTCAATTAATAAAAAGCCATTTGCTTGTTCCAGTGGCTTCCAGCTTCATATAGCTATAAGTCTCTTAGTTTACATGCAATTTGCATTATAGGTAATATCTTGCTTTTTGAGGGCTGCCTGGAGAATAGCCTCTCTATCCTGCAAATTCAAAGTCTGATTAAGAGGAGGTGAGACGCCCTAATTTAACGCATCTCCTTTGGCACTGTCCATGTATTCAATCCCTTTGGCTACAAGCAATTACTTATAGGAATACACTTTCGGACGGATCCAAGGATTGCTCCCCAGCAGTATGTCTATTCCACTCTCCGACCGCTTCCACACAGGACAAAACAGACTCCTGTCACAAAAAACATATTACACAAGTGGCTTACACCCAACCCCCCTACATTGACTTATGTCAAACACACACTCCACCAACTTATGCTAATCCACAAAGTGATACCAAAAACTATTTATCTAATACTGGAAAATTCTTCCATACCTGGACTCGCTATTTAACCACTGAATGTACTATGGATCAATTGAAGGATATTATGTTGATTTTTAAGGACTCAAGATGGTACCTCCTAGCCGCATCTGAGGGCTCTCTGGGCCAACTCAATGTCCTTGGGTAGGACATTGGAGAAGTAATGACTGAAGGTGATTAAAGCATGACACTTCACTCTAATTAACACTTTCATAGATCTGACCTATTCCCCCATATGACATTACATGCCGTATATATGCATTCCCTATGTTACCCCTTCTATATTTCACGTCCGTTTCAGGTCCTTTCCGCGCCGCTATATGATCCGTTCATTTTCCTTTTTGTTAACAACGCCAGGCACAGCCCAGTAGATGATCGTTAGACTTCGGCCTTAAAGGCATATGCATATTGTTAGATTGTTAATAAGCTGTTCGCATAATATGTAACCTGATTCCAATGGATACCTCCCAGCATGTTTCAAATGCTTTACGACTCTGTAACAGTTAGGTAGTCTATTGATTTTGCTGTATAACCTTCTGATATGTACATCAGCTGACCAGGTTATTGCATATGTGTTACCTATGTTATGATAGCTTGGTTTTGTTTCTTGGTCTGAATAATTCCAAAATACCGTATTTTTCGCTCCATAAGACGCACTTTTTTCCCACCAAAAGGAGGGGGAAAATGTGCCTGCGTCTTATGGAGCGAATCCCGACGCCCGAGACATGCAGTTTCGGGCGCCGGGTGAGTAGTAGGAGCCACTGCTCGTTTAATACGAGTGATCTAATGAGATGACTCGTATTAAAGCCGATCAGCGGTGGCGGCGATCAAGTTCAGCAGTTGGAGCCACTGCTCGTTCAATACGAGTGATCTAATGAGATCACTCGTATTAAAACCGAGCAGCGGCGACGATCGAGATCACCATAGAGCAGACGAAGAACGGACTTTCTTCGTCTGCTCTGTGTGATCACTGAGACCGTGGCGCTGTAATCACAGGGCCACCTGTCTCAGCGGTCACTAACTGCAGCTTCTGTCACAGCTTCTGTCATAGAAGCTGTGTCAGAAGCTACAGTCTGTCGAGTGCTCCACAGGCGCGCCGGACCTCCCTGCGTCCTATGGTCCGGTGCGTCTTATGGACCGCAAAATACGGTAAACTTGCAAAAAAAAAAAGAGGGGGTGAGGGGTGCCCCTGGTGGTAATGGGAGAAGTGGCCGTCTATGAGCTTGAGGTATGAAAACGTTTTGTCAGTAGGGTCCTCCACTTCTTCAGGAAATTAAAGCAATCAAAGGTTATTATGATGGAAGAGCTCATCCATCTCTCCACACTTATCAGAATGAGCATGCTGCACCTTTCTATCATCTCTAACCTCCACCTCCAAAGTATTTTCTATTGCACTGATATGCTGCTCAGGATTGAAAAACTATTGTCTGATATTTTTCGATAATACGTTTAAGTCTAGTTAAATTTATTTCTAAAGTCTCTATATGTGAAGTAGAGGATGGCTGGCAATGTTGAATTGCTTTAATAATTTTAGAATTCAGGGGCAGGCTCATTAGATAAGGCAGCAGATTTGTGATAGAAGGGGAAAAAAAAGTCCTTGAGGAGAATTAATTTTCATGGTGAGAAACTCACCCAGCCAGGGACTGCCAGAAGCTTCAGCAAGAGATTAAGCTCCACCTGGAGTGCTGTCACCACCTTGCTGGGGATCCATTATGAACCTAGTCAGTCTTTCACCAGGCAATTTACCTGCAGCGTGCCCAATTTTGACCATGACAGTGGTTGGAGATTATGGCCACAGCTTCACAGAGGGTTGTCAGAGAGAATGTTCTTGATAGAAATGGTAGGAAGAACAGAAGAATGCAGCAGTTGGGACAGGACTTGGTGGCTCCTCTGTTCACATCTCTGCAACAGGACATGTCCACTGACAGGTTCGCTTTAAAATTTACATTCCTTATTATCATTGATGTCCTAGGCTTTGTTAGTATGCGTTATATACATCAAAGCTTTTTTTATGTCCCGATTCTTCAAACTGTATATAAAGGGGTTTAAAAAGGGAGTAAACACAGTGTAAAACAAAGCCAGAATCTTACTGATCATCTGTGACTGCCCTTTATTTGGAAGCACATACATGGCGATGAGGGTCCCATAAAATATGGACACAACCATCAGATGGGAACTGCAAGTAGAAAAGGATTTCTGTCTTCCTGAAACAGAGGATATCTTTAGTATGGTTGAAACAATGTAGGTATATGAAAGCACTATCAAGAGGAACGGCAAGACTATGACAGCAGTACAAAGCAAGGTGGATTCCAACTGGACGATGGATGTGTCTGAACAAGAAAGTGCTAGCAGAGGATAAAAATCACAGAAGAAATGGTCAATAGTATTTGGCCCACATAATTCTAATGAGCACACACCATGTATTATATAAGATGTTAGAGAACAGCTTAATAGCCAAGATGCACATACAAATGTAACGCAAAGCCCCTGGTTCATAATGGAGACATAACGCAAGGGATAACAGATAGCTAGATAGCGATCATAGGACATCACTGTCAGAATAAAACATTCAAATGTCTCTGCTAAAACAAAAAAATAAAGCTGCGTGATGCAGCCAGGAAAAGATATGAACGCTTGCTCACGTAGAACAATTTTAAGCATGTTAGGGGCAATATCGGTAATCAATAAAATGTCAGATAGAGACAGCTGGAAGAGGAAGAAGTACATGGGAGAATGGAGAATCTTGCTGTAGGACACCAGTGTGATGATTAAGACATTTCCACATATTGTCACGCAGTATATCAAAAGGATTAAGGCGAACAGAAGGTTACCTATACCCATGTTGTTGAATCCCAAAAAATATATTGCTGTAATATTACTTTTAGACATGATCTGTGTTATAATAGAAAATGTAAACTTGAGTAACATTTAACATATCAAATAACATTTTAGACATGTAAATCAGGCCCAAGTGTTACTAAAGCCATTTTTTTTTACTTTGGACAGAAAGGCAAAGATTAGAACCCTTGCTAGTTGTTTATTGTTTTCTTATAAAATGAGGAAGTTCTCTCTCTTTTTATGTCCCAGTGACTACTGTTAGTGAGTCTGATAGTAAGGGGGAATCCAAAATTTTTGGTGGTCATCAAAACAAAATTGGGTAAATCTTCCAATAGTCACATTTTTGCAGTTACATTTTTCTCATTTTGGAGAGAAACACCAATACCAATAGAGACGGATGATTCTCTCCACTTCCAGACATCAACACCAAGCAGATGAAGCAAATGGACAAATAAATGAATACAATTATAAGCAAATTAATAAATACATGATTACAGCTGACAGAAGTTTTAAACATTCCCTACTCTACTCTTTAATAAAAATCCCTGTCAGTTTCATTTTGTGGTCTGTGTCCCATTGAGGAGGTTTCTTCATTACAACCTGTACCAGAAATAAAACATGAAGTGAAAGGGATAAGCAAAAGTAGGGGGAAGGCAATGTTAGATAGTTTCCATAGGGTCAGATTCTTCCATTGGCAGATTTATCCTCACCTCTTGTTCTAGAGAAAAATCTAAAATTTGGGATTTTGAATGAATTTCTGTTCCAGAGACAATGGTCACCAGTACAAAAAGAGAGGAGGGATTCTCACCACTTCCAGGCATCAGCACCAAGCAGTAAAGGGACTCAAATGGCCAAATAAATGAATAAAATTATAAGTACGTCAATAAATACATGATGAAAGCTGACAGAAAATGAGAAAAAAAAATTAAGCACTGGAATTTTGATAATAATGTGTATAACAATATTATTATCATGTGTCATATTACACGATTTAATAGGTTATTAGAAGTGGGTGTTTAAATATTAATTGGTGCATCATTAATATAAAATATCAAAGTCAATAAGGAAGATGATAAAAAAAAGTAAAAAGTAAATACAAAACAGGAAAAGAAAGCACTTACAAAATTCCCCATTGATGCTTGATGAAAGAGTCTCTCCCATCCTATGGGACTCTTTACCCCAACCTGTCCGACTATCTCCCACTCTGACTGCCTTTAGGTGATCCCTTAAGACTCATCTCTTCAGGGAAGCTTATCCCACTTCAACCTGACCACTGAACAATCACTTTCTCAAACAATTCATCCCCACACAGCAACCTGCTCATGTATCAATGGCCCCTCCCTTGTTGATTGTAAGCCCTCAGGGGCAGGGCCCTCCTTACCATCTTGTCTTGAACTGTATTGTGATTGTAATGTTTTCCTTATTTTGTAAAGCGCTGCGCAAACTGTTGGTGCTATATAAATCCTGTATAATAATAATCAGTATGGAGTTATTTACTGAAATGTACTGAAATACTGAAAGAGTAAGCAAACACATGCCTTTAAAGGTGAAACACCTGAAGCACCTAATGAATGTAACATCAAATTATATATATAGATATATCTATATATACATAAAATGTATAACTAGTATAAAAACCTTCCTAAAAAAATATAATTTTGACACTGTCTTATAAGTAAAAATGGCCAATTGCATATGCAACAAAAACAAATAGATTTGTATTTGAGTATTTGATATGTCTGTATAGGCAAAAAAAAAATCAGTTTTGGGTAGAGTAGGGAATGGTTAAAATCCCTGTCAGTATAATTTTGTGGTCTGTGTCCCATTGAGGAGGTTTCTTCATTACAACCTGTACCAGAAATAAAACATGAAGTGAAAGTGATAATGAAAAAGTTGGGGGAAGTCCATGTTAGATAGTTCTCATAGAGCCAGATGCTCCCGTTGGCAGATTTATCCTCACCTCTTATTCTAGAGAAAACTTTCAAATTTGGGAATTTGAATACATTTCTGTTACGGAGAGAATGGTGAGCAGTATAAGTGGGATTCTCTCCACTACCAGACATCAACAAAATCTTGACATCTAAAATCTAACACCTATACATATATAAATTAAATACAAAAAGTAAAATGTTAGATTACCTTTCATCTGAACAGTATATTTAAAAATGTATTGCTCTTACTGTAGAGATAAGCAGTAGTGTAGAAGGTTTTTACATCAGCTGATGATGATAAGGACACAATGCCGGTTTGTTCAATGAGAAATCCTCCTTTAAAGGACTTCAGTGATTCCACAGGGAGCAACCAAAATCCCTTATGGTTTACGCATGTGGTTGATAAAATTAGATTTTTCTTGTTATCTTTTTTTATAAAATAAAATTTGTTCTAAGTAGCGGTGCACCGAAATAGAAATGTAAAAACCGAAAATAAACCGAAATAAAAAAAAATTGTCAGGCTGAAACCGAAAAAAAATTGTTTTATTTTTTTCAAATTTTTCAAATATTTTATTTTAATTTATTTTTTATAAACTTTAAAAAAAAATTATATTTATTTTTATTTATTAATTCATTTTTTATTAAATATTTTTATTTTTTACTTTACTTTGAGGGGCTTCAGGGAAATATTAGGGGTCTAAACAGACCCCTGATATTTCTCTTTTAAAATAGAAAAAGAGATTGAGAACACAGAGATCCTCAATCGCTTTTTCTGCAGCCCCTGTTATCAATGAACAGGAATCCTCTATGAGTGTTCCTGTTCATTGATAACATGAGGACAGAGTATGTTTACTATAACTACAGCTATGAATGAACAGGAGGTGATGTAGATGTGATATAGATCCAATTCATTCATAATTGAGGATATAGTCAACATGCTTAGACCTCAATTATGTACAAACACTCAGTGATCACTGATCACTGACTGCTTGTACCCGCTTTCCATCCTGACAGCTGTCACAGGAGGCTGAGCGAGCAGAGCAGGGAGGAGAGCTCAGCCTCCTGTGACAGTGCGGCCTGTCTCCGCCCACACACCGCTCTGCCGGACTGTGATAGGAGGCTGAGCGGTGTGTGAAGAGAGACACCGTCCGCTCACAGCACTCTCCTCCCTCAGTGCTCGGCCGGCTGTCACTTTCTCTCCTCCTCGCTGGGACACAGAGCAGCGCCCAGCCGGGAGGAGAGAAAGAATGGATGCACCGATGTATCGGCAGGAAAATTGCACTTTCGGCATTTAGCCAAAAGTGCCATTTTCGGCCGATATGTTTTGGCAGCCGATATATCGGTGCATCCCTAGTTCTAAGATTATTGGTTATAAAATGCATTAACATTTTAATAAAGGATACAATCAATTTGTAAAAGTTTAAGGTGACATACATTTATTTGAGTGTAAATTCACGTCTGGTTTTAGTAATACCCTCAGTATTAGCAGAAAATATATTTGGAGGAAATAGATACCACTACAGATAGAAGTAAAAATTAAATTTTTCATTATAACTTCTTTTTTCTTTCAAGAATGTGCATAGAAATTATTTAATATCCAAGCCTAATATCCAGGATATTGTCAAACAAATAACACGAGGCGCTAGGCACTAAACACCAAACCCCAAACATCAACCCAAAACACTAAAACCTAAAGCTATATATACTGTGTGTGTGTATATATATATATATATATATATATACCGTATATACTGGAGTATAAGCTGAGTTTTTCAGGCCATTTTTTGTGCTGAAAAGTGCCCCCCTCGGCTTATACTCGAGTCAGCGTCTCGAGCTGGTCAGGTTTCTTCTTACTTACCTCAGGCGGAGCTAGCTGTCACTGCTAGCTCCGCACAATCGTTTTCTATTTACTTTTTTTAAACTTTTTTCACTCTTTTTCTGTTCTGCTCGGTACCTCTGAGGGACCGAGCAGAACAGCCGAGCCGAATGCCGCTCGGCGGCATTCGGCTATTCACTCACTGCTGTTCGGCATCTTTAAGAATAGCCCGAACAGCAGTGAGTAGCCTGCCGGAGGTTCGGCTCAGCCGATCCAGATGTTGGATCGGCTGAGTCGAACTCCTTCAGCACACAATTTATTTTGCTGAGCATGTTCGGCCGACCTGAAGCCACGCGAAGCAAGCCGATGTACGGCTGTTTCCGCCGATGTACGATGTAAATCAGCCGTACCAGCCTGAAGTGAATAGCCGAACAGTGTTCGGCTCACTTCACTTCAGATCGGTCATTCACTCGGCTGCCCTCGACTAATTAAACTCCCACAATGTCCAATTGTACCTTTTGAGAGCGCTGAACAATTTTCTATCACATCTAAACACTTTGTAGCCCACTACACTGCATTTCACTGTCATGTAACACAATACAGCACTGATTATAGCACTGTATAGCAGTAGCTAACTATCTGTCTCAAAATGCACAGCTGATCCTCTGTGCTTTAGATGCAAACATACATGGCTGATAAAAGGTGATTGGAACCCTACGTTTTATAGGGAGGGGTCTGCAACATAAGAAATCCCCAATATTGACCCTTTTAAGCCACCTGCTCGTATTACATAGGCAAGGAAGTGCTTTATTGGTAACTGTTTGCTTTAGCAGCAAATAGCTCATACTGCATTCAGCTAGAGTTTGGTCCACCTGAACCTAAAGCTAATCTCTACTTACAACTTCAAATCACTCAGAGCATTAATTATGAATCATCATTCCCTGAGTAGAGTGTGTTTAATCCAGTTTATGGACTAAGAGGGTTATTGACTAAGCTGACTTCGGCAGCCGAGTGAGTAACCGAGCCAAAGTGAACTGAGCCACTCGGCATTCGGCTATTCACTTTGGCTCTGTACCGCTTTGCCCTCAGCACTGGGAGGGTGCTTTTCCAGGGTCCCCCCTGGAAAAGCAACTTGTCCCTATGCCGATGGGGACAAGGGCCTCTTCTCCACAAGTCCAAAGGTGTTTGCTGTGGAGGGGGTGTGGGGGGGGGCTTATTCACATCAGGGTAACCGTTTAATAAAGGGGCACCCAGATGCGGCCCCCCTTGTGAATGACTAAGGAGTACTTGTACCCCTGCCCATT